CACACTATCGCGCTGAGCCCTAACCGCCCTCCCCTCTGCCACTGGGAGATATGCCCTGGGGGCATAGGCCAATGTATCTTTTGTCTAGAGAATTTGGTAGTTAATTAAAGTACTTGATTTTGGATTTTGTATTTATGATATGATGTTTTAGAGTGAAATTCATATGTTAGAATTATGTATAGAAAAATATATAATGATGTATAGTTTTTGTAAGCAAAATACATGGATCTTTAAACATGTATTTGGGGGCCGAACTATCTTATAGGAGCAAATGCGCGAGCTAGAACAATTTGACATTCTTGAGTACGTCTACTCGATCAAGTTGGCTTTAAGGGCGACTTTGATGCGCTTAACAAGAAATAAAAGTTAAATATAAAATCAGATATGACTAAAAATTTCTATTTTTAATGTTGTAACCGGTAGTTGTAACCATCCGCCAAATCTGCGAAATACCTAAGATCCATTAGGGTAGACCACTTTATATTAGATTCTTTGCAAAAATCGAATTGGCAAAAGTGAATCAATCAGACTTGTTTTGTTTTATTTTGTGAATATTTACAAATTTTGATAATTTTAATAATTATAAATTCTTGCAACTTATATAAATACTCTCCTTTTTTCTTTAATTTTCAATTATTAAAACTTTTTGAAAGTGTCCAATTTGTATATTATTTAAAGGGCGTGATTTAGACGTAACTTTATAGGTATAATACGGAAATTAGTTCAAAGGATTAGACAAAATCAACTCAAAAGAAAAAAAAATATATTTCTTAAAAAAATAAAGAAAAGACTAGTAATTAGCCCTTTTATTATTTTTTCTCAATGATTTTGTATAATATTTTTTGGCGACACGATCAATGTCACATGATGGATGATGCAAAGATATATAGTAGTCATCTATTTATCTTATCCATATGTTTGAAGTTTTCTTATTTTCATTTTTTATATCAAATAATTTAACCTTCGTGAATTTTGTGAAAATGTCACAGATAGTGATGGCAAAATAACATGCCCTGCCCCATCCCGTCTCGTCTCGTCCCGATTGAGGCAAAAAAAAAAACCCGCCCCGACGGGTGGGAAAAAAATAAATTATTTTGAACACTGTTTGTTTCAAGTGTTTACTTTGGATATTAATATAGTTAGTTTGAGCATTATTT